ACATCAACCTTAACGAGCACACCATCAACAACCTCATCCATCACACCGACATCAACCTCAACCAGCACACCGACATCAACCTCAACCAGCACACCAACAACAACCACAACCAGCACACCAACATCAACCTCAACCAGCACACCATCAACAACCTCAACCAGCACACCATCAACAACCTCAACCAGCACACCAACAAGAAGCGCAACCAGCACACCAACAAGAAGCGCAACCAGCAGACCAACAACAACTTCAACCAGCACACCAACATCAACCTCAACCAGCACACCAACATCAACCTCAACCAGCTCACCAACATCAACCTCAACCAGCTCACCAACAACAACCTCAACCAGCACACCAACATCAACCTCAACCAGCACACCGACAACAACCTCAACATCAAGTCAAATCACAAGCATCACCTCAACAAACACCACAACCATCATCGCAACTATGTCCTTAACCTCCACTCCATCCTCCACCCTAACTCCTACCTTTAGTCCCACTGTGTCTACGTCAGTCAGCACATCCGATGGTAAGTATAATATTTTAACCTGCAATCATTCTGTGATTTGTCATACAGAACTTGAATATTGCTGAAAGTTGAGTTATTTTGTTAAACTTTTTCCGCTTGCGCTGATCAGGTCATTTGGCAAGAATATAAACTCAGGTGGAAAACCAACATTTATGCTGCTTGAGTAAATACTGCTGAGTGTTTGGCAAGTGGATACTGATTGGTAGGCTATAACCGTGAGACATGTTCTTATTAATGCTGATTGACAGTTAACTCCCTGGCATTGTTCAAATTTTAACTTGAAACCTGGTGCATTGACCGTTGTCAAGAAACTCCCTTGAGAAATGAACCAGTGAATGCCTGTCATCAATTCTGTTGACAAAATAGGATAATTGTTGGGGTAATCCATGCAAATTAGTTTTGGTACCTCATTTCACTCATGGTTAACTGCTATCAATTGTCCCTTTGAGTATTCTGTGTGATATATTAGTTATAACTTTGAAATGTTAATTGTGCATTGATCTGGTGTGATTTGTTTAATGGTCTTTGTAATTTTCCAACATCACAAAGCTCGTCAGTCAGGATGTAAGACCTCAAGTGCCTTTGCACATATCACAATATGATACTTTTCAAGTTTTATTCTGTTCTTCACTGAGTGAAGAATATATATGGGGTCATCATCATTTTCATGTCGAAATAGTTTCTTGGGATATACAGCAACCAGCAGAATGTCTAGAGAAGGCAGTCACATTTATATTCTAAAGGATGGTAATGGGGAAGGTAATGATTTTAGAAACTCGAGATTTGTATCACACTGTTACTAACAACTGCGATTATGAATCATATTGGAATCACTCAAGAGACAGAGCTTGGCACAAGTTTAAGTGTCTTGAAACTCACTGACATCATGAGGGCTATCTATACCATTGAGTGCCCATTGACCAGAGACAGAATCACATTCCCTGGTGCTGCTCCTAGCCTAGATTTACTACTGGCATCCAACTTGAGGGCAGTGAGACTACTAAAGCACACGTGCCAGGTGCTAAATTTCAAACAATACATTCTTTCCAACCTGTGGTCAGCAGCTGACAATTACAAGGATGATCAGGACAGGCAGTTTTGATGAATCGTGTTTTGCTTCACCTCATAGTTCATCACTTGTTAGTCTGAGTTGTGATGATGGCGAACTGAAGGCTGTGAGCTTTTGGAACAACCCCCTGCAGCACTAAATTTGTCTATGATTTGAGCATTGGCTTTAGTCACTTCAGACTTTTGACAATGTTTTCCACTTATAACTTGAGAGCAGATTGTTCAGTGTACAGGAAGATGGAATGAGGTGTCAGCATTTTGAAGAGCGAAGATCATGTCCTGGACAATTTTTCTGGGACAGGGAAGTTTTACCCTTGTCATGGATCTGTAGTTACCTTCCTTAGCCTCAGTAGATTTGCTGGTCTTTATGATCATCCCTGTTCCATTCCACTGACACTTCTACACTAGCAATTACACCGATAATCCAGACAGCTAGTAGTTTAGGGTCAGAGCACTTAAAACACAACACTTTACTAATCTGCTCGGAACTTAAATCTTTCCTGACATTTCAATATTTAGCCTTCAGACAGATGCTGGTATTCAAAGTTCAAAAATGGCAGATACCATACCTTCCTTATTTCAAACAGTTTTCCATCTCAGTGCCCTCAGGCATATTTACACATTGCTATGTTTGCCAATTTGGAAAGAGGGCGAAGACAGGAGTGTATAGGATCTTTATTTTTGCCCCATCAGATGGATATATCAGAACTCTAGTAGATGGGGAATAGATGACCCAGTCCTGATAGCTCCTTTAATGAACTTTAGTTGTATTGTTTTGTATGGGATACGGTGAGCAACATCATCGATCTGTTGTGAGAGTTGGGACCTTTCAGCATGGTAGCACGGTATTTGTTGGAGTCTTTGCTGAACTCAGTTCCAACCACAGAGTGGCTGATGGGCTGGAGTTGGACTTCAATGGCAGGAAACCACCTTGAAAAGCATGGTTCCCTGCAATAAATTAAATGGTTGGGTCAGGAGGCGTCATAGCCAGTGGAGGGAAGGTAGAAAGGTGTGGAATCTTAAGTTTCCTTAGGATACCTGACACAACACAATTGCTGCAGGAAACTCAAAGATAACTAAAAGTGCTTAAATTGTTGGGCTTCTTCATTCCTTGTAGCTCCTCCCCATTTCACATCTGTTATCAGTTCGATGCTTAATTCTAAACTTTTGACATAAAATTCCATAAGGATCCTGGAATTCTGACTTTAATGCAGTAAAAATACTTAACTTCAGTGGGTACATCTAACATTTCTCAAAATCCAGAAGTTGAAATGCCAGTGAGCAGGAGGCATGGGCAGAACTGCAATGGCAAACATTTCGTTGTTTTAACTCCTCATCCACTCTTGTCCTGCTTAAGCGGTAGTGGTCAATGTTGACCAGTTACACAATAATATTGACATCACTATTTGGTGAATTTTCTGCATGTGATTGTCTCTGCATTTCCTACACAACAGTGAATGCACTTTATTAGTAGTTTGAGACAACCCATGGTCAGAAACTTTTTTTCACTGAAGCAAAAAAATAAAAACCTTTTGGCTTCAACATATTGAGACTTGCAGTCAGCTAAAATAAACCTTTAGTTGTAGCTTTAGTAATGCTAGTTTCAAAAAGATGCCCAAGAGCATTGTGAAGAGAGTGCAATTCCATTCCTAATTCTATGGGAATTAGAAAATAGTTGCCAGATTAGCAAAGCCAATAGTGCTTGGTGTCTAGAATAATCCTTCCTTCAATCCAATCTTAAGGGACAAAATGAATTTCTCCATTTTGTATACCATTCATCCTCATGTCAACTGTCAAGGTCATTCCAAACTTACTGCCAGTTTATGTCACGTTATGAGCAATTTTATATTGATCTTTGTACCTTTTGGAAGCTCCACACTTACTTCATTCAGACCTCTGTTCTTTGTGACTGGTTCATGGCTCTGGTTACCTCATGCCACATTTTCCATGTTCTCACGTTGATTAAGGATTTTTTTTGCATTAGTCGTTATGCACAATTAGAAGATGATATTTGCATCAGAGTAACATGAGAAATTAGGAATTATGTGAAAGCCCATTTTATCAGATTTTCAAATATGTTGGTTAAATTGAGATTAAATGAATTCTCTAACACAGATCTTCCCTCGCCATTATAGTAAGAGACAGCTGCCAACCAGGGCTCAATGACTGTTCAGGTAATGGAACTTGTATACAACAGAATGCAACTTACACCTGTCGGTGCAATGCTGGTTTCAGAGACAGGAACCCCAATGTTCCTGGAAGAATATGTGAAGGTAGGACATTGCTTGAGTTGTGCACGACTTAAACCATTGCCTTACAATGGCTTTTGCTCTAATTGATTGTTTTAATCTATTTCTTATTTCAGATATCAACGAGTGTCAGACTAGGAACAACACGTGCTCTGATTTTGCTATTTGTAGGAACACTCCGGGGAATTTCTCATGTAGCTGCTTCGAGGGGATTATAGATACCAATCCGGCAAACCCAGGAACACAGTGCAGAGGTAACAATCTGAACAACTTTCACCAGGAGTGATGAGGTAGTCAATAATACGAAAATATTTTAAATAAATCTTGGTGAAATTAACAAGTGAAACACATTTATCTTACGTTATCTCATTGTGATATTAACATTTCTTTGCACATTTAAAATACTATAAATGGAATTTTGACATTGTTAAACAAATAGAGGAATATCATAAAGTCATGGAATTTTTCAGGGCTGGGGGAAACCCATAATATTTGTTCTTTTTTGCTTTGAAAAGTTCTCCAATTTCTCAGATTACTCTGACCTTTTCTTGAAACATTTTTCAATCATATTGTTAATTCCTAATTTCTTCTTAAATATAACTTTGAAGTTGCTTCCATTGCCCCTCCATTCAATGAGGTCTCGACCATAATAACTGAGGCTTAGCTAGTGTTTGAGAAAAGTTTAGCCTAACTTCTTTGCTTTACTGATGCACGCTTCTTTCTATAAAGCCAGGAATTCGCTGAGAGCCTTATCTATTTCAAATACTTGTGCATTCAAACTCCAATGTCTATCAGTTCCTCAGCTTCCTCTATCTAAAATCGTACCTTTATTTACCTTTATTCACCAATAGAAGCAATATGTAATTGTTTTTTATGGGTTTTGAGATGGAGTTACTGTTGTACGTTTAGTGCATTTGGTGTACACTGCTGGTTTGGGAAAGGACAGATTTTGAAGGTGATAGATGGTGTCACGTGGGATGCTTGGTCCTGGATGGTGTCTAATGTCTTGAATGCTTCTGGAGTTACATTCAGCAAAACAGAATAGAGTATTCCATCACACTCCCATCTGCCTTGCCTTTGGTCTTATGCCCATCATGATTTTACTCTGGTTACTGCTCAACTCCTGCTTAACTGTACATTTAACGGCATAGTTCCCATTAAATTCATTACTATCTTTCTCTCTTTTCCCCTTTTTTGGTCTGCATCTCTGTTCTTTTAAGTCCTAGGGATGCAGATGAATGGATATAGTCGACAGCTAGGTATAGCTTATCTACCATTGACTCATCAAAGGTATTCATTTCCAATATTAACTGAACTGTACAACTTTTAACTTACAGATCCTAACACATGTTTCATAAATCAGATAGATATCTGTGCATTGTCTAACTGCTCGATAATGACAGTCAGCGAATGCAACAGTAAGTATCTTTGACTTCTTTGGTCTATCTTTCTTTTTCAAAAAAAAAATTCCTTCTCAGGGCCTGGTTTTCACTGATATTCATTGCTCAGCCCTGATTGTTCTTGTGAAAGAGGCAGTGAGCTCCCTTCTTGGAATGTCGCAGTCCAGATATTTTCCTATGTTTACTTTAGTTGCCTCTGGAAGGTTACTGCTTTAAACTGTTTACTTGTATTTACTAAATAAAGAGTGGTGCAACTGCTGTAATGCTGTCGATTCGAGTTATATCCCCTTCATTAACTCTAGTGTTTCGTAAGCACCAACATAGCAGTGACTTGAATATTGTTCTCACATCTAGAGACAGTATTTACAGCAGATTCTCAGAGTTCAGGATAAGATTCCAAGTGAAAGCTAGTAACTTGCCAGACAGACCTTCCCTCCCCAACAGCCTTTCTTCCTCTTAAACAGTCTCATTACTTCCCAGTATTTTCCATTGCTGTTTCTCCGATATGGTGGCTCAGTGGTTAGCACTGCTGCCTCACAGTGCCACAGACCCAGGTTCAATTCCACCCTCAGGCAACTATCTGTGTGGAGTTTGCACATTCTCCCTGTGCCTGAGTGGGTTTCCTTCGGGAGTCCCAGTTGCCTCCCACAGTTCAAAGATACGCAGGTTAGGTGGATTATCCATGCTAAAGTGTGCAGGTTGGGTGGATTAGCCATGGGAAATGAGGGTTACATGGATGAAGTAGGGGAGTGTGTCTGGGTGGGAATCTGTATGGAGGTTTAGTGTGGACTTGATGGGCTGAATGGCCTGCTTCCACACTGTAGGGATTCTATAATTTTAAAGTTCCATTATACTTGCTTCAGGCAGTTTTCTAGGTATGTCTATGAACTTCAAAATTATTATAGAAACATAGAGATTGACAGCCTGGACAAGCAGTCATTCAGCGTAATCTTCTTTTCTAGCCCCTGGTTTTCATTCTTATGGGTGACAGCACTTCAAATGCGAATCCAGGTATATTTTAAATGTTAGATAACAAGATGTAGAGCTGGATGAAAACAGCAGGCCAAGCAGCATCAGAGGAGCAGGAAGGTTGACGTTTCGGGCCTAGACCCTTCTTCAGAAATGCAGCCCATATCCCTCCAAATGTTTCCTATTCCTGTATCCATCCAAATGTTTTTTAAACATTGTAATTGTAACCACATCCATCACTTCATCAGGAAGTTCATTCCACATGCGAACCACCTTCTGTGTAAAATATTTGCCTTTTATGTCTTAAATCTCTCTCCTCTCACCTTAAAAATGTATCCCCTAGTTTTGAAATTCCCTATCTTAGGGAAAAAAACAACTACCATCAACTCTATCTATACCTCTCATTATTTTATAAACTTCTATCAGGTCACTTTTCAACCTCCTACACACCAGCGAAAAAAGTTGCAGCCTATCCAGTCTTTCCTTATAAAACTCAAACTTTCCATACCTGGCAATATTCTGCTAAATCTCTTCAGAACCCTCTGCAGCTTGATAATATCCTTCCAATAAATGGGTGACCAGAACTGGACACAATATTCCAGAAGAGGCCTCACCAATGTCCTGTACAACCTCAACACAACGTCCCAACTCCTATACTCAAAGGACTGAGCAATGAAGGCAGTCTGTTGTGTAAGGGTGATCAATGACTTATTTGACTCTTTTCTCTGTAAAGGCCGAAGAGGATTCAGAATTAAGGCAACATTGAGATCCAGACAATTCAGCGTTGAGCTAAATAACCCTGGCACTGTAGCCTACAAGAACCTATCAGCCGAAATTACAGATACAGTAAGTGGGAAAAATAAAAATTCTTCTTTGAGTAATCTTTGATTAAACTATGGAAGTGGGAAAATCAGTGGAGTATGTCCTACCTCATGCTGGAGTCACCAGAAAGGTATTCCATTGATAGGATCTCCACCACTTTTGCAAAACTTTGACTCAAAGGGAATAATTCTGACCTCTGGAGCTAGCGTATGGTGGACAATATGCAATTAGTATACCCTTGTATAGTTATATACGTTCAACATCAGCACCAAACTGTTCAAAGTTGTTTACTGACTCTCGTGATCACTGGAGGGTTGTTGTTCTCTCTGTCTTTCTTACCATCGGGACAGCATGGTGGCTCAGTGGTTAGCACTGCTGCCTTACAGCGCCAGGGACCTGGGTTTGATTCTACCCATAAGCAACTGTCTGTGTGGTGTTTGTACATTCTCCTGGTGTCTGTGTGGGTTTCCTCTGGGTGCTCCATTCCTAATAATGAGGGGTATAGATGGAGTTAATGGTAGCTGTCCTTTCCCCAGGATGGAGGTTTTCAAAACAAGGGGGCACACTTTTAAGGTGGGAGGAGAGAGATTTAGAAAAGACACGAGGGGTCAATTTTTTTTTAACAATAGAAGGTGGTTCGCGTGTGGAATGAAGTTCCTGAGGAAGTGGTGAATGTAGGCTCCTGAAGCCCTTGCACCTTACTGGGGGCAGGCTTTAATTTTTGAACAGGATGGAGGGGAATGGGAGTTGTGTGGGGAGAATTAACATAAAGGCAGTGTTTCTCCAAAGAAGCTGACCATCTATTTACAAAATCAATACAGCACAGGAACAGGCCCTTCCATTATGCCCTTCCATACTAAAACTATTTTTACTCACAGGATTCGTATCTCTCTATTCCCTTCCTATTCATGTATTTGTCCGGGTGTTTCTTGAAAGCTGCTTTTGTGACTGTTTGCACCACATCCTCTAGCAGCGTGTTCCAGGCACTCACTACCCTTTGTGTGAAAAATGTGCCTCGCACATCTCTTTTAAGCTTTCCCTCTCACACCTTGAGCCTGTGTCCGCTAGTATTTAACCCACCCTGGGAAAAAGCCTTTACATTCTATCTATGCCATTCTCAACCTCATAAACTTCTATCAGGTCACCTCCTGTGTTTCATTGAAAACAAATCCAGTCTATCCAACCTTTCTTCATAGCTAAAATCCCCCATACCAGGCAACATCCTGGTAAACCTTTTCTGTACCCTCTACAAAGCATCCACATCCTTCTGGTAGTGTGGTGACCAGAACTGTACGTAATAATCTAAGGGTGGCCTAACTAAAATTCTATAAAGCTGCAGCATAACTTGCCTATCCTTATACTCAATACCCCTTCCAATGAAGGCAAATATTCATAGGTCTATTTTACTACATTATCCAGCTGCAGTGCCACCTTCAGTGATCTGTGGACCCAGGTCCCTCTGCATATCAATACTCCTCAGGGTTCTGCCATTCACTGTATACTTTCCACCTGTGCTTGACGTTCTAAAATGCATCACCTCACATTTGTTCGGATTTAACTCCATCTGCCATTTTTCTGCCCATGCCTCCAACTGATCTATATCCTGCTGTATCCTCCGACAATCCTCCTCACTATCTACAATGCCATCAATCTTTGTATCATCCGCAAAATTACTAATTAGACCAGCCACATTTTCTTCCAAATCATTTGGTAGACTACAAACAGCAGAGATCCCAGCACTGATCCCCATGGAACATGACTAGTCACAACCCTCCATTATGAAAAGCATCCTTTCACCGCTACCCTCTGTCTCCTATGACTAAGCCAGTTCTGTATCCATCTTGCCAGCTCACCCCTGATACCATGTGACTTCACCTTTTGTACCAGTCTGCCATGAGGGACTTTGTCAAAGGCTTTACTGAAGTCCATGTAGACAACATCAACCACTTTTCTCTCAATCAACTTTGTTACCTCCTCAAAAGACTCGATCAAGTTAGTGAGGCACAACCCCTCCCTCACAAAACCATGCACTTGCAAAAAAAGTCCATTTGTTTTTAACTGCATATAGATCTTGTTCCTGAGAATCTTTTCCAATAATTTCCGTACCACTGACCTGAGGCTCACAGGCCTGTAATTTCCAGGATTATCCCTGCTACATTTCTTAAACAATGGGACAATGTTAGTTATTCTCCTATCCTCCAGGACCTCACCTGCAGCCAAAGAGGATACAAAGATATCTGTCAATGCTCCAGCAATTTGTTCTTTTGCCTCCCTCAATATTCTGATTGATCCCATCAGGACCCGGGGATATATCTACCTTACTACTTTTTAAGATGCACAACACCTCTTCCTTTTTAATAAAAACTTGGCTTAGAAATTCCACACTCCCTTCCCTAGGATCATCCTCTACCAATTCCTTCTCTTTGGAAAATACCGACACAAAGTATTCGTTTAGGACCACACTTACCTATTACTTGTTTAAGTTCTTTCCTACTTTCCTTACATACTTTGAGGGTTTTGTTAGTTCCCATTCTCCTAGACCTTACATATGCTTCCTTGTTCTTTTTGACCAAGGTCACAACATCCCTGGTCATCCAAGGTTCACGTTAACTTGCCATACCTATCCTTCATTCTCACAGGAATGTGTTGCTCCTGATTCATGTGCTTTATAATATTTGCATTAAGATATATGCATCATACATCCATATACAACAATCAGGCCTCAAATAGAAGTCCAAGAGGCCATGTCTATCAATTTTAAAAATGCACAAGTGTTTAAGGGGGCCTTACAGCTGTCAAAAATTAGCTGACCTCCACAGCAGCCATTGCTGCTCGCAAGCATGTAACCCCCAAAATCCCACAGGGCCATCGTGACTTCCAGTTTGAGATTGATTGTTTTAAACATCAAACAAACTCTGCCTTGAATCATGACAAATTGCCAGAATTTTCTTTAAAGGGCAGGAGACTGATTGTTATTCAATAGTCTTTAGTTCACAACTAAAGCAACAAATCTCCAAAGCCCTTAAAGTATGTACGATGCTGAAAATTGATACAAGAGAAACAACACTTTGTCAGAAATTTGGACAAAACAACTTTCTGAAATGGGCGTACAGTACATTAAACCTGAAATAGGCTGGTTCTAATGTTCTTCCTTACATTTGCATGAATAATATCTCTTCAAACTTACTTCTTCTACACCTTATTTTAAGGTAAGACAAGTGATTTTAAACAACTCCGTGAAACCTAGCAGCAAATGGATTCTGTTCTCTGGGAAACAACTTATAATGACTCTCATAAAAACTGAAAGAACTGCGGATGCTGTAAATCAGGAACAAAAACAAAGTTGCTGGAAAAGCTCAGCAGGTCTGGCAGCATCTGTGGAGGAGAAAACAGAGTTAAAATTTCGGGTCCGGTGACCCTTCCTCAGAACCCCGAAATTCGTTAAGGTGGGGATGCAGAGGGATAAAGCTGAGGCCTTTACTTAGTACACAGCATTCAGCAACGGAGAGTGGAAGGTTAGGAGGGATGGTGAATGCCCGACAGGAGGTGGGGGTGGTTGGGGGAGGGGATAGAGTCAGAGGGAAGGGGAGGAGAGGGAGGTTCCAGAGGGCCATGGGTATTTTTGAGTTGTTGCACCTTGTGGGCCTTGATGCCTGAAAGGAAAAGAAAAAGATTCTTGTTAGCACGACGAATAAGCCGGAGGATGAAGTGGAACTGCGGAGTGGTGCAGCCCTGTATAATGACTCTCAGTTAAATTTTAAATCTGGTATAGGTCAATCTGTTTGTAATCATGTTTACATATCATAACCCTAATCAAAAATTCAGAACTATGAGGACGATGTCAGTTCTTAAGACACATATTGTTGCAATATGGAAGTGAACGTGTTAATGATGATGACGTAAGTGATAAAGGTACTCCGACATTAGCAGTGCAGAGAGAAATACTATTGAGACTCAAACAGGAGCAGAAATGCAACCCTGTGCTAGAGACCTGTATTCAGTCTGATAAATATCAGAGTGAGAATGAAGAGTTCGTAGGATTACTGAGAGTGAGGGTTATTCTGAGTTAAGGACAAGCTAAAGATTCAAAAGACTCAGCAGTAACAGTCTAATGTTTTTGAGAAGATTTGTAGCTCGGGTGGTGGATGAGGTTGTAGACTTGCTCACCGAGCCAATGTGTTTGGTTGCAGATGTTTCGTCACCCTGTTAGGTAACATCGTCAATGCGCCTCCAGTGAAGCGTTGGTGTTCTCTCCTGCTTGTTATTTATACGCCTCAGTTTGCTGGGGTGGCTGGCATCTCTTCCGGTTCTGTTTTTCATCAGGTTTGTACATCGGGTCCAGCTCGGTGTGTTTGTTGATGGAGTGCTGGTCGGAATTCCAGGCCTCCAGTAATTCCCTGGCATGTCTTTGTTTGGCTTGTGCTATTATGGATATGTTGTCCCAGTCGAATTCATATCCTTGTTTGTGTGTGCTGAATCCAGAGAGAACTGTCTCTTGGTGGCTAATTGGTGTTTGTGTATCCTTATTGTCAGTTTTCTTCCAGTTTGGCCTATGTAATGTTTCTCACAGTCCTGGCATGGTATTTTGTATAATACGTTGGTTTTATTGGTTGTGGATGTGGGATCCTTTATGTTCATCGGTAGCTGTTGCAGGGTGGCGTTGGTTTGTGGGCTACCCCGATGCCTAGGGGTCTGTATAGTCCTGGAAGATCAGGGAGTTGCTCTCTCATAGGCAGAGATGATTGGTGGCGAGTTTCATCTGAGGGTCACCACACCTCAGATGAAGGGTGAGATTGAGAAGGTGGACCTTCATGGTAACCTCAGCTGGTACAGGAATACATCACACGCTGTTGGCACCACTGCATCGCAAACTAGCTTTCCAGCTAGCTGAGCTAACTGGCAATATACAATCCATGAAAGATCAATCAGGCACGTCTTGAGTCTATAGGAGAAGCCCAAACTCTTAACATAATGGCAACAGCCCTATGCGTGGTTACCACAGAGTTCTCTCAAAGCATGTATGCCTATGGAAAATAAGTTCTCATTGTGAATACAGGAATGACAATAGAATTATATCATATACCATATGTATAATATATATAGAATTATACATTAAGTATTATTGTAGAATTATAACATTAACATTGATACATTTAATATTAGAATTACAACATCCTAGGTCAATATTCAGCAAATGGGTGAGTGAATGAAAAAGTATCAGGAGGCATTCTTAATGAATGGTAGCTGATGCTTTCATTGTTATTGGAGTGAAAATAATCTCTATATTTGTACATTCCAGGTTGTACAAACGGTACAAAGTCAACTAAATGATAAAAGTTTTAATATCAGCATTGTTGGTTTTCAAAATGGGAGCGTGATTGTGAATTTCCTGGCTTTCCTAAGCCTCACCTCAAACGTCACCACTTCCGACCTACAAAGTGTAATTGGAGATGCAATCAGATCAGTCGATAACCAGAGCTCCGTCAATGTAACAGGTAGGCATTCTGGCACTCGTGGAAATAAAGAACTTGCATTTACATAATATCTTTCACAACCTCAGGCAAGGTTGCAAAACTGGGTGATTGATAACTGATAAAATATGCTGTAGCCTCACCAGTCTGGCTTGCACAGGAATAGGTCATTTCTGGATTCAGACTGGATTTTGGACTGAGATTAGAAAGCCTAACCACAACGTAGTGAACCAATATGATGTTTTACCTGCAATGTTATAAAGCAACTGTAACAATGGTCTCAGAGATAGTAGGAACTGCAGATGCTGGAGAATCTGAGATAACAAGGTGTAGAGCTGGATGAACACAGCAGGCCAAGCAGCATCAGAGGAGCAGGAAGGCTGACGTTTCGGG